CCGTAAAAAACATTTGCATAAAACTCTACTCGGTCCGTCTCGGATTGACTCGACACAAGTTCGTTACACGAACAAGAGCAGGCATTTCACAATTTCATAACTCTCGAGAATTCTATCACCATTACTGTATTGTTCTTTGTTTAGCTACGGTAGGCCGGCGCCAGTGTGTATCAAATTAAATCAAATCAAATCAAATCAAATTTATTTCACTTGCAACAAATATTACATACACAGTTCAATCAAGTAAAGGAACAAACACACAAAAAAGCAAGCAAGGGTTGTTGAGCGTGCATAATCCCATATAAACAACTCCTGTATTTCAAGGACACTCGCAAAACCATCACTAAAAGTGCAAACTGTGTGTCAGAGCCTCAGACGTTTGGCGAATAAGCATTACCGCTTTAGTTTCACATCAAGACAAATCAATATTATTATTAGAAAAGCGCGTATACTTCCAACTTTATTCAATTTCAACTTTATTTACCTCCCTTAGGAGAAAAAAAATCAAATGTACAACTTAAAAAAGGATCCAATAAAATAAGATATCATACAATTGTGTAACAACATTAATTTAAATTTATATAGTCAATTCAGAAAAGTCACAACAAATTAAGAACAATGTTAAAATCATTATTAACTGAAATGGCAATCCTAACACTGTCACAAACAGTAAATTTCCAACATGTCAATTGTAACCAAAATTAGGTAACCAGAAACTGGAAAAACCAAAAAGTTATCTTTTTATAGCAATGAAATTCCCCTTTATATGATTAAAATCTATTATTAGCGGGTGTGTTTGTTCAGTGCACAATGTGTATTTTAAAAGATGATATTCAGAAAATTTCAATATTGAATAGGGGTGTTCAATGATAGAAAGGAAAAGTATAACTCAATTAACTAGAAAAACCGTGTAGGCCTTTATAATTTTGATTTTTTTTTGCATTGATATTAAATGTTCATTGCCGAATTCGTGTAAAATTTGCTGAAATTTACCTTGAAATTGGTAGTAAAAATTCGGGGTATCACAAATGGTAGATTCCATTATAGAATTATTCGTATTTGAGAATATTATTAGGCCTGGGATTCCCATTACTCAATGAACTTAGGCCATATAAACTCGATTTTTTTTGTTGTGTTTTGCTGTCTAATAATAATGATATTTGACATAAACAATAATACTTCACTAAGCAAATGTGAATACTTCAAAAAGGAGATGTTAAAACTGCATTTGTGGAAAAATTGTTTTGAAAAATATTCAACGAATGAAATTAGTTCTGTATGCATGAAGATGTTTAAAGAAAAAAACGCTGGTGGATCATCAGAGTTTTCCGAAGCGTTTAGTGCTGTACTCCTTTGCAACATGACGGATGGTCAAGTACATGAGGCTGAAATAAAGTCAAGAAAACTCTATACACATCCAAATAAATATCCTGTGGATTATACTTTGAGAGTACCATCCTTGTATAAAAGCATCGATAGTCCATGCATCTATTACGTTTCGGTCTTTCGAGCATTCTATCATCCCATACTTACAGACAAACAGAAACTTAAGGATAAATTCAATCCAATTAAAAAATTGAAGCAAAAAGTCAACGCTTTGGAAGAAATAGAAATAATATCTGATCAACTTCCATACCAAAAAGTTATCCATGTTTTAGCTTCGAAAGAGGTCGCAAGCGAGTTACAAGAACTAGGCCTAAAAGTAAACGACGTGTACATCTATATTGACGTATGTGAGGCAGAATTCGTATACCTGTAGGTAAGTATAAATGAACAATATTAATATAGATAAATAATAATATAGACTAATATATAGATTAATATAGACTTCATTAAATTAGACCAAAAAAGGCAACAAAAAAAAATGAATACTTGCTTTTCTGTAGTTGACGATTTCGGCTTGAAGCTCAAGGCTTGTTCAAAAACAGTACAAATGGCGTTTCATAGGCCTAATGAAATACAAAGAGTCCGATTCACACACCTACCTAGGAGTAAAAACCAGGTCGCCAGGGCCTGGCATTATTAGTTAATGAGGAATGTTCAAATCCGCAATCACGGGACATATGGTATGTCTGAACCATATTTTAGACTTAAAATATATTTTGGACAAAGAACAGAGAAAAAAAATAAAAAGACAAATACGAGAAGCGCTTTGGATTATAAAACACAAACAACGATAAATAGAGACGAGGGGGGGGGGGCATAGAATAGAGATGAGGAAGTATACCAATTTTCTTATATCTACGGCAAGTTCATCTCTCAGCGGACAACCGCCGTGGCCCGGTGGGGATTTTTTTTTCCACTCGGGCCGTCTCAGATTGACTCGACTTTTCAGTCGAATGACATTCCTACGGTTTTTATACATTTTCTGTCAATGTACGAGTCTTTTCTGTTTGTGTTCAAAATCGTTTCGTATTTTTATGAAAACTATTTGTGTGTTTGGGGGGGGGGGGGGTTACCTTCATGATCATCACGTGATCCAACTACAGGTTTATTACAAGAAATGAATGTTGTTTTCTACCATATATTTGTTTACTTCCCTAATTTGAATGGGTACGGTAATTTTTATACATCCCTGCTTGTCCAATGATGTTATTTAGATTATGTAAGTTTAGTTTAATTCTATTAGATTCATAACTATATAAGATAAAAAGTACTTGTGATTGGTTGAATACTTAAAGCTTGAATATAGAAAGGCTAGTTCAAATTTGAAAGTTTGAATACATATTTAGAGGAGTAAGGCTTTTGTAAGCAGGACAAAACGTTGTCCTGGGGCGGATGTAGGATTTGGCGGTAAGGAGTGCATGAGAGTCCACTCCACCCGAGTTCACTATGGATGGGCCTGAGGTCAGAAAACTAGGATAATATGGACCTCTGGTTGCCTGGAAATATATATATATATATCATAAAGAAAGGTAAAAACAGTGTTTGAATAAAGGTGTTGAATCTGCTCAACCATGAAGCCTCTGTAGTCTAATGGTTATGACGCTCACCTTAAGCGGCGAGAGGTTGCAGGTTCGAATCCCGCCAGAGGCATTTTATTACACAAATTCTTTATTTATAATACAAAATTGGCTGAGAACTAAGCTACACGATGTATCTATGTCCTTTCTTTAATGATTTATATAAAACATAAGTGTTAACGGTTATCTTGATTTATATATAGGCCTATATTATTATCATTGTATGTAATCTACTTGATTTATCAATTATTCCCATTGATAAGCAGTAAAAACGTTTAATCATTTTAGACCTATACATGTCTCTAAGGCCCGGGATCAGAACACATTGATCTGTACAGCGGACAGTATCTTTTCACTTCACCAAGACAGATTTACATAGCCTTCGTTGATCTTACCAAGGTATTGGACACAATTGGCAGAGCAGGCCTGTATTGGAGGTTTTAGAGAAGATTGGATGCCCACCAAAACTACCTTTTACGGTCTTTTCATGAAAACATGCATGGTACTGTGTAGTTTGATTGATCCATGTCAAACAGCTTTGAAATCAAGAGTAGAGTGAAACAAGGCCGTGCCTTAAGGCCCACACTGTTTGGTTGGTAATTTATGTTTTATGCTTCTAGCATTATGCATTTGAAGAAGATCTAGAAGGAGTATATATCTCCACACACAACCAAGTGGCAAATAATACAGTATTTCCAGAATCAGAGCAAAGACAAATATTAAAATAATTAATTTAAAAACAGCTCTACGCTGATGATGGCAGTGATCATCTCGCACACAAATTTCACTTTACACTATAATTTTCATATAAACTGGTGACATTTACCAAATTCTAATATTCAGGCCTGTATTTCAAACATTAACAAGATACACACAACATTAACGGTAACATGGTTATCAATTTAATCCACTTTTCTGTATGCTGTACTACGAGTTAAGTGACAATTTAAGCATGGGCGCCGGTGAAATTTACAAAAAAAATCCAAATGCTTAAGAATCGCTTTTCACATGCTTGTGAAAGGTTCTCTCTAGTTATCAGCCTCAAGCAAGCCGTTGTCAAGGCATTGAACAACCACATTGATTATGGTCAATCATAACCTCTTAATGTTGTTAGCATGATTTGCTACCGGGACCGAAAATTGCAGAAAATCTATCTTGATGAAGAATTTAACACACGGATAGGGTAGGCAGCCACTATATTTGGGATAGGGAAGGCAGCCACAACATTTGGCAGACTAACAAAAACATGTATGGAACAACAACACAATATCCAGACCAAGATCTCGATATTATACAAAGCTTGTGTTGTGAAACGTGGACATCGTATAGCCACAAGAAAGGAAATGTAACAATTTCCATCATACTTTGCATTCGTCGTAAACTTGGATGGACAGAGTTATAAACGCTTCAGTACGGGAACCAACTAATCTACCAAGTACCTTGGCGCTCATCAATCAGAAGATATTACGTTAACTTGCCTACGTTTGCAGAATGCCAGACGGACGCATCCCTACAGTACTTAGGACTTGTATGGCGAAATACCAGATACAAAGAGATCAGTCGGACGCCCAAACTGAGGTTTAATGGCGTTTGCAAGAGGCACATGAAGTCTTTTAATATGGGAAACATCAGCTGCAAACAAGTCAAAATGGCGTCGCTGGCTTTAGAGGATTACACACTTCCATAATGAAAATGTGATTTAAACACTTGAGCGTAACACGTACGCATAGAAGCCTGCCCATCATCATCTTGAAAGATGGAGGTTACCATATATACATGTCTTTATATTTATTTTATTGTATGTATGAATGCAAATGTAGCTTGAGACATTAGACTTTAATTACTTTTGTAAATAAAACTACTAAGAACAGACTAGTAGGCCTACATTGCGGTCGTTTGGCCACATGGCTGATACCCAATTGAGTGCACAGTTAGTTTTAACTAAAAATTATAATAATAAAATATTCATGATAGTCTGATACGGTACATTATGCATGATGTACGGTGTGATGACGTAGAAAAAGAGACACTTTCTTACGGATGAAGCCTTGACGTGGCAAGAAAGCTTACGGAGATTACAATCTCCAAACTAATTCATCCACATACAGTTGAAATATATACTATTTTTTGTTGGAGAAAGTGTATATCTCAACGTAAAACGTAGAAAAGACTATACCAATGTTGTTTCTCCTCTTGGTAAGTACAGTGAACCATATATTAACATTTTCACTTTACACTATGCATGGTGCAAAAAGATTAAAATTCTGTAACTTATAGGGCCAAATTTAATACAGGGGACATTACTGTACATATTTAGAAACATTACATAATACATAACTATTATTCCTGGCAAGTGTAGACCTAATGTGAACCCTTGGAAATAGAATTCTTTAAAAAATTAATAGTTAATATATTTTAACATTATTAATTTATGTATTATAATCATAGTATTTTTTTTTTTTTATTGGTGTGACATCTGAAAGCAATTGTGGAAGTGGAGTGGTCGGGTGGGGGACTTTCTTACGGATGAAGCCTTGACGTGGCAAGAAAGCTTACGGAGATTACAGTTTCCAAACTAATTCATCCACATACAGTTGAAATATATACTCTTTTTCATTGAAGGAAGTGTATATTTTTCTCAATGTTAAACGTTGAACAGATATACCGGTGCGTATTAAAAACATTCTTATTGGTGTAATATCTAATAATAATTTGTTGATATTTTGGTAAGAGACTATTTTATGAATGAAGTCTTGGCATAGCATGCATGACCAAGTGGAGTTGAATAGCTTGGTGGTTAAGATGCTTGCCTTCCAATCCCAGGGTCCTGGGTTCAATTCCTGCCAGTTGCAGGATTTTTTCTCACGACATAAACAACTCCACTCCCTAAAATCTCATATTGAGATTTAGTTTGTGTAAAGCATCGTGTGTGTATGTTTGTCTTTTGTATTGGATTGTCACCTACAAGTAGGACAGTGATATATATTCGCTATTGGCAGTCTTTGGCACATGTGTTGTGTGCCTAAAGAAAGAATAATAATAATAATAATATTGACAATTTTCATACATAAGTAGGGCTAAATATCACTGCAAAAAAAGTGTGGTTTCTTCCTTGTTTAAAAGAAATTGGTTTAAAAAAATATATTTTAGATCTTAAATAAATCTTGACAATCGATAGCGCCGCGGCCACATTTTGAATTGTTAAAATAGTGGCGGCAACATTGGGGGGGGGGGGGGGGGGGGAGAGAAGCAGAGGCCAGTTATTTCGTCTTCTAAGAGTGCCACTTCCAGTTTTAATGTAAAGTTTTATCGTATTTATTTCATTGTTAATGTCAATTCTCATAATAATTTTTATAATGACGTCAATAATTATCTTCCATTTTAAATTGCAATTTGGCCATTGGCCACTGTTCAAATGAGGAATTTGAATCTGAATTTGAGAGAGGTGCATAGTCCTAAAAATGTAGTGTCTGCCAAACACTCTCTGATTGAAGCTTATATAAGCTTACTTGGGTTATAATATCCAGTTCCTTGAAATGATTTCTCATTAACATTTACCCACTGACAATACACCCATATAGCAATATAGGAATGTAACAGGCTCCCAAATGTGAGCTTTAACATCAGTTGAGGTACTAGAATAATACCCTGAAAACAATAAAATGTCATTTGGCACCTTTTTAACCCTTTTTTCACAATTGTGTATTGGCTTTTAATCATTAGAAAAAATACAATTAAGGAACTTCATTTATTCAGTTTACAGTCGTTGAGAAACCATGAGACCCTTTTTCCCCCTAAAAATGGTACAGTGGTTTTGTTATTGAAGCATAATCCATGAGAGTTATTAGCAAAGTTATTTCCTTTAAAATTCTGGTAGTCGTTAGACTACAATAGGTATGAATCATGAGAATAACAGAAAGCATTGAAAGTTGAATTTGCAATAAAAACACCGCATTCAATGTCATTAATCCATAAGTCTTTTTAAAATGAAATAAATATCAATGTACGGTAGATGACAAGCCGTCTTGTCTTGTACCTTCACAAAGTTTTACATTTGTACTTTTCCCTTAACATTTACAGTTATGTTTGTATACCAGTAAAGTAAATATCTCCAATTATCACCAATATTGCGACCAATAGCACCTGCAATTTTTTTGTGTGTTATTTGATAAAATCTTAATGACATCCTAAAACATTCCCAAATGCTCCCATTGTATTTATTTATATTTGATTTTTATGTTTCCATCATAAAATGTAATATTGTATCATTATGAATAAAAATGGTTAAAATTTAAAAAGTCTACCAATGACGATATAAATGAAGACAGTTGATAGTGGTCGCATTGATAGGTATTAGTGCGTATCGAACATTTAGATAAACGTGTATTGTAAATTCCAGTCGTGTCAAGCTTTTAACTTCTAACCAAATTTTGGTAACTGAGAAACTGGAAAAACCCAAGTGATATTAATAACAATAAAATTCCCCGATATTTTATATCCATAGACCTATTTGTCTTTTGTTAGCTCGACAACAAGGGATATGCCTACAAAAATGATACGCGGAAACCTCCAAAATTGAATAGGGAAGTTGAATAACAGAAATTAATAAAGGTGTAAACACAAGTAAACTATAAATACGGTTTATATAAATTTCTAATTCTGTTGCTCTGATATTTAATATCCATTGCCGAAATATTTTGTAAAATGTTGCCGAATAATTTACCTTGGAAACTGTAAAATTTTAGTTTTGGTATGTCACAAATGGAAGATTCTATAAAAATCATTCCGATTGGCGGATATACTATGTTGAATTAAGCCCCGCCCAAAAACGTAGGCCTATATAAACAAACACAACGGTTCAATTTTTGCCTTTTTTTAATTAACACATGGAAGATTCAAATTGGCCACTACATAATAATAATATTAAAAAAAATAAAAGAAAATTTAATAATGTATCCGGAAAATTTAAATTTTTCATAGAAATGATGTCAGCCTATCCGGCAAAAGTAAACCCGTCTGTACAGAAAATATTTGAAGATGAAAACGCTGGTGGATCGTCAGTATTATCAGAAG